GTATAAGGCCAGCGGGGACCATTGTGATCATCTGGTCAGACCCCCAGCAAAGCACAAACCCTATGACCCCACCCGGGATTCCTGCATCCAGCCCAGTTAGCGTGTGGTTAAACTGGAGTGGCTCTGTTAGAAAGATACACCCAATGAATGGAGAATCCACCACATGCCAGTGGTTAATCTTCCTGCATTCACCAAATGATGCAGACTCCCATTTCTACCTGAACCACCCAATGCTCCCTCTCATAACAAGCCTGGACTCGCACCGGGGTTGGAAAACACAACGTGCCACCTCCGTGTGGCTCCCTGCCCCAGCCAGGCTCAGAGAAGGGAAGTGTGACTTCCCCAGCCACATGACTTTTATACCCACAGCGTAGCCATTGGGTGCCATCCTGCCACATGTACTCCCAATGAGCAGTGCCTTACTCTGCCGGCATGTCCACAGAAATCAGTGGGGCCGTGCCCAGAGACGGGATTGCTCCGTGGGAGTACGGGTGGCAGAACTGGGTAACTAGAGCTGAGATTTCGCTCCAAGGTTTCAGGGAAGCTCTGATCTGGGTTCTGGTTCAAGCCCAAGGGGACTATGTGGCCCAGTTGCAAGGCCTGTGTCTGCATCCCTGCTGGTTTGATCTGGTTTCGGTGAGCCCCAGCAGACTGGTCACCCACAGGAGCCGCTGGCCAGCTAGACCGTCCGGTGGTCAGCTGAGCACATACAGCCAAGGGACACTCCCCACCAACCAAATCACGTCACCACCATGGCCCTTCCCCTGCACTAGTCCTTGGCACAGTCCTCCCCCGGTTGAATCAGACTCACGCTTCTCACCCCATGCCATGCTGCACAGTGGGGACAAGAGAAGCCGGGGGACAGGAAAGGTTGTTGCTTGGGCGAGGAGGTTGACAAGGAGGCATGGCCTGCCTGCCTTCTCTCTGCCCCCCCGCCCTGGCATGGACAGCCTTCCTCGGGCCCATTTCTCCTAGCAACGGGGCTGCCTGTGAATGAGCCCCTCCCACCAGTGCTATCTGGGCATTGCTTTCAGGAACGCCCTCGAGCGGACTGAGATGTTCGAGAGGCTCCGGCCGCGCCGCGCCGTTTGGGAGCAGCCAGGCGTGCACAGCCTGCTGGCAGGCCAAGTCCACAGTGAGTGCTCGTCATCCATATTTAATTATTGCTTTTGCTCGTTAATTTTTAACTACAGTACTCCTGCTATCAAGGGCCATTAGGGGTCCCAACTTCAGGGTTCAACAAGCAGAAAAGTGCTTGTGACAGAGCGTACATTACTTGGTGTTTCTGCCTTCCACTTTGCTGGGCTGTGTTAGCCAGCAGACTGCCCCACCGCTGGTTGTGAATAAAACATGGCCCTCCGTTTGGAGTTCATTTTCCTTTTCATCCCTGTCACAGTCACTTTGCCTCACGCTGAAGTTCGTGAGCTCACTTGAGTTCCTGCGTTTCCACGAACTATCTGAATTTCTGTAGGGAACGCCCCTGCATTACCAGCTGGAAGTGCTGGTTCAACGGGTCTCTCTAGCGGGAGGCCTGGCGCTGGCAAGCCAGCTGCTTGGACATACGTTGCCAAGGGGGAGGAAATCCAGTGTCAAATGGTTCCACCCCTCCAGGGCCAGGGCCTGCTAAATTACTGAGTCAGCAAGTGACTGGGTCTGTCATATGCCCCTGGATCCTGGCCTGTTGGTCCAGTCCAGGCCCCTCTCTTGAGAATCTAGAGGCTAAGTTTAAGCCAGCCTTTCCAAAAGCAAACACTGGGAGCTGCTGGGTGTTGGGGTCTTTTGAAAAACTGGCCCATAATCAACTCATGTATTTAGAGCCTCCCTCCCCAGCTGCCACACGTTAAGCATTGACCCCTGCCCTTCTTGGGAGGGGAAACAAGGAAAGGCCTTGGGTTTTATACCGAGCCTTGCATTGCTGCCCTACATGATAGCCTGGCATGGCTATTTGTCCATCAGTCCCGCCCTTTAACGCACAGCAAGGGAAAAGAACCTTTACAGACCAGAACAGAAACGCATGATCCTATTGGTCCCTTCAGGCCCTAAAATCTCTGAATCTAGCAGTGAGTTTTGTTCTCACTGTCTGGTGGCTTTTCATCCCGGACTGACACGAAACCCCCACTCAACACTTTCAGTCGCAGACAGATCCGCAGCAACAGCGTGACTGGGAATTCTCCCACATTTACCCTTGATCTAGGTCACCCTTTCTACATTTTCAGCCTCCCTCGCTAGTTGGTAACCCTTGGGCTCAGCTCCCGTGGAAATGCATTCAGCATAAATATTGGAAGGAGGACAATTACCCACAGACGGGGAGCAGCTACAGCCAGGGATGGATTTACTCGGCATTGCAGAAAGTAGTTTGAGAAGCGCTCTTCCCTCACATGCGTGGCTGACAGGGTACAGGGAACGGTCCTTTCCCGGAAGGGGCTGTGATATCCCAGTTGAGTGTGACAGCCCTAAAGACGAGAGGCTGGCTCTAAAATGTCCTCTCTCATTGTGCTCGTGCACTTTCCAAAGGTGGCCTAGTCTATGTCTAACTCCGGTGTCACCTGCTGATGGAGACGGAGGAACAAAAGAATCTGCAGTGACCAGAGCTAGCTATGAAATCTCAAAACTGAACTCACCACGGGCCCAAACTGAGCGGCAGCAAAGTGAACCCTGGCCTAGCTCAGAGGATCAACTCGCAGGTTGGCTTGGTAGTAGGGCACCGCAGTGGCCACAGCTTGCAGGCATGTAACACCCAGCCCTTTGGTTCAGGTAGCAGCACCAGGAAATGCCTACACATCTCTGACGGTCATCTTGGGAGGTGCGGTTCATGGGATCATATGAACAGCTCTTCTTTGGCTGCCTGGTGCTGCCTCAAGTGCTCTGCTCTCTGTGTTGTGTTGGGACATAGGGTGGAGGAGAAGGGAGTCACAAATAGCAGTAAGACTTGCCTCTCTCCTGTTGCTTATCTCAGGGTGAACGCTCCTGGGCTGCTGTCCATTCTGCCCCTTAGGAACCTACACTGCTCCATAACATGTTGGAATAGGGTTTCTGTCTGTCCCTCTACGGAATTCACACTGCTTGACTCTCTCTTGGGCTGTAGATTGCTCAAAGTGTAATGTCATGGAAATCACTAGCATCTCCTCCAGCTTAGCTACTCAGATACGCCATGCATGACTACATGCATTTGTATGCAAGATCAGAAGAGCATCAACATATGGCAGGGGGGAGGGATAGTTCAGTGGTTTGATCATTGGCCTGCTAAACCTAGGGTTGTGGGCTCAGTCCTTGAGGGGGCCATTTAGGGATCTGGGGCAAAAATCTGTCTGGGTCCTGCTTTGAGCAGGGGGTTGGACTAGATAACCTCCTGAGGTCCCTTCCAACCCTGATAATCTATGATTCTATGTGGATTGTTAATGCAGGAAAAGTCCCTCCAGAAGCCAGGCTACTGAGACATGTGCAGTTGCTATCAAGGAGTGATAAAACACGTCTCTGATGGAAGGTTTCAGAGTAGCAGCCGTGTTAGTCTGTATCCGCAAAAAGAAGAACAGGAGGACTTGTGGCACCTTAGAGACTAACAAATTTATTAGAGCATAAGCTTTCGTGGACTACAGCCCACTCTTCG